ACTAGCCAAAATTTGGGTGCAGATCTACGGCCTCCACAGGAGCTAGTAGCACTACCGGCAATCTCCACAATGCTGGCACCTTTGCTGCTCGTCGCTATAACCTTCATGTACCTCCTCAAGAGGTTAAGCCCAAAGAGCAAGATCTTTAGTGGCACATCCTCATCGGCGACGATGCCGCTCCCGCTCCCGCCGGGGCCGTCACCGTGGCCAGTGGTGGGCAACCTGCCCGAGATGATGCTCAACAGGCCGGCGTTCCAGTGGATCCATCTCGTGATGGAGGAGATGGGTACGGGCATCGCCTGCTTCCGCCTCGGTGGTGTCCACGTCGTCCCGATCACCTGCCCCAAGATCGCGAGGGAGGTGCTCAAGAAGCAGGGCGCAAACTTCGTGTCCCGCCCGCTCAGCTTCGCCTCCCGGACCGTCAGCGGCGGGTACAGGGACGCCGTGCTCTCGCCTTTCGGCGATCAGTGGAAGAAGATGCGACGGGTGCTCACATCCGAGATCGCCTGCCCTTCCCGCCACGAGTGGCTCCACGACAAGCGCGTCGACGAGGCCGACAACTTCATGCGGTACGTCTACAACCTCACGGCCTCCTCCGGCACGATGGAGTCGTCGGCGGCGGCGGCAGGCGCCAACGTCGTTGTCAGGCACGTCGCGCGGCATTACTGCGGCAACGTCATCCGCCGGCTTGTTTTCGGGATGCGACACTTCGAGGAGGCCCAGCCCGACGGCGGGCCGGGGCCGCTCGAGGTGGAGCACGTGGACGTGGCCTTCACCTCCCTGGGGCTCCTCTTTTCGTTCTCCGTCAGTGACTACCTCCCATGGCTGTTAGGCCTTGACCTCGACGGCCAACGAGAAGATGGTCACGGAGGCCAACGCGACGATGAATAGACTGCACGACGCGGTCATCGAAAAGCGGCGTAGGCAGCACTGGAAGGACGGCGAGAGGCAGGAGGAGCTCGAAGACTTCCTCGACATTCTCATCTCGCTCAAAGACGGCGATGGCAACCCGTTGCTCAGCATCCAGGAAATTAAAGCGCTGTGCATGGTAAGGAAACCGTCAGTTAATGACCATCAAAATCTAAAACGTACGTCCACCATACATGCACGTATAGTATACGTCAATAGATCATCCATCCAACCCAAAATGCAGCTCTCTTAGCATTTTAGGCCGAGTTCTTTCGACAGCTTATGCCATAAGCTGCCCCCTCGCCAACTTAATCTGCGAGCCGCCTCAATGTTTTTTTGAATTACTCTAGAAGTCGTTCTCAATTTTTTGGGTCCCGCTAACTGCCACACCTGTGGCAGGAAGGGAGACGCACCACACGTCTCTAATGTAAACAGATTGTCACGACATCACATGCATGCATGCAGGAATCTTTTTGGATTTTCAGTTTTTAAAATGTTTTATCTCTTAAACGAAAAATCCGATTAAAAATCCGTTTTCACCATTAAATCTCTCGCGATGAGATCTTCGAAACTAGATCCCATGTTGATATGTTTTGATGAAATTTTTTTTGGATTAAAAGTTGCCATGTCTATTGCATATGAATTGCCATGATGTTTACACTGAAGTTGCCATGATATGTTTCAGCTATTTTCTTCTACATTTAAAAGTAAATTTTGATACTTATAAAACGGGAAATTAAGAAACTAGACTTGCCATAAACCATAAACTAAAATTGCCATTATACATGCACGTAAAATTGCCATGGTTCATACAAAAAATAATTTTTATGGTCAAAATACTGGAATTGCCATCATCAAAATACTAAAATTGCCATGATTTACAAACTAAAATTGCCACATGGCAACTTTAGTTTAAGCCCTATGACAACTGCAGTGTAAACATCGTGGCAACTTCTGGCAAAAAAAAAAATTCGTCGAAACATATCAACATGGGGTCTAGTTTTAAAGACCTCGTCGAGACGGATTTAATGGTGAAAACGGATTTTTAGTTCGTTTTTTTATTTAGGAGATACAACATTTTTAAGCCGAAAACCAAAAAAATTTCTGCTGATGTCATTTATTCATACGTGGCAAAATGAGTGGTGATGGAGGCGTGTGGGCGATGTGAAAACGCCCACACGTGTGGGCGTTAACATTTCCGATTTTTTTGGATCGCCAAAATTTTTTAGGACGACTTTTAAAATTAGATGGGGATGGAGTATCTTATTTTGTAGACATCAAAAGAACTGGGCCTTAGTATGAGAGTTTTAGAGCACAATTGGTTTGGGGTAAAAATTGGCATGCTAATGTTTGGCGTTGTGTCAAATATTGGCTACTACTTGGTTGGTCACCGGGTTATCTTGCATATCTCACACAAAAGTTGCCAATAGTTGGCAAGTATTGATATTGCCAATATTTGGCAATGCCAACATTTGGCTAGCCAAATATTGGTACCAAACCAATCATGCTCTTACATTCCTAAGCTTAATCTATAGAAAATGTTTGTCCCAAAAAAATATCTATAAGAAAATGACTACTCTCTCGGTACAAATATATAGGGCCTAATAAGTTATTCGAGTTTGCCACTGACCATTTAAATAAAGTCAATGGCAACCTCAAAAAGTACGATTTGTGTAACATGCATGTCATATGAGGTTGTCATACATACAATTTGACGGTATGCTTTCTGTAACATACATGTCATATATTATTGCTCTAATGTGTGGTCAAAGGCAATATTACAAAATGTAGTTGGCTCTATATACTTTTGTTTAGCGGAAAGGCCCTATATACTTTAATGGAGGGAGTAGCATCATCATGAACATTAAGCTACTGAATTTATCATGAAATATACTTTTATATCATATAACACTTTTATGTGCAGGAACATGTTTACAGAGGAAATAATGGTCAGAGTGTCGTTTTAAAGTTTTTGTGAGTGCCATAGAAACCTAACATTTTAGATATGAAGAATCAACTCATTCATAAACACACCCACATTGACATTGCATAATTGTGTACATGACATGTATGAAGGACGTGACATTAGCGGCGATAGACAACCCGTCCAACGCCGTGGAGTGGGCATTGGGGGAGATGGTGAATAGCCCAGATTTGCTAGACAAGGCTATGGAAGAGATAAACTGGGTGGTTGGTCAGGAGAGACTGGTGCAAGAGTCAGACTTCCCACAACTCAACTACGTCAAGGCGTGTATACGAGAAGCATTTCGGTTGCACCCTGTCGCGCCCTTCAATGTACCACACGTCGCGGTCGCCGATGCCATTGTCTTCGGCTACCACGTGCCAAAGGGCAGCCACATTCTTCTAAGCCGGGTTGGCTTAGGACGGAACTCGTCTGTTTGGGATGAGCCGCTTGACTTCAAGCCAGAGCGCCATATGGGAGACAATATTGATGTGGTGCTCACAGAGAGCGAGTTGCAATTTATCTCCTTTAGCACTGGTCGTCGCGGCTGCATTGCGGCGTCTCTAGGGACGGCCATGACTGTCATGCTGTTTAGCAGGCTCTTGCAAGGCTTCACATGGACCAAGCCAGCAGGAGTGGAGGTCCTCCATCTCGTAGAGTCCAAGCAAGACCTCTTGATGGCAAAGCCACTGGTGCTACATGCAGAACCACGCCTACCGATGCACCTCTACCGCATGGTTAAGTAAGAGAGTGTCTATTTTTTAAGGTTGCTCGTAGTGGATAATGTCATAAGTTAGTATCATGCATATGATACTAGTATATGATACTACATTCGTAATGCAAAGGATCATTAATGACCTTATTTATTGTTATGCAAGACACATAGTAGTACAATATTTATTATGATACATATCATGATATGATACTCAACCATCTCTCTCTCCATTTAATTTGATGTCACCTCATAAAAATTGTCTAGTTGACTTGCATGATACTAATTATGATACTTCCACTACTTGCAGCCTAAGTCAACTAAGGAACATATTTTTTTTCTATGTCATCAATCTAGAACGAGGATTGTTTATCCCGTAGAATTGACTAGTTGGGCGTTTTCAAGCTTGTACAACTTTCGTATTGGAAATATGCAACTTCGTTTCGGCCAAAACCGACAGATAACACGGCCAACTCCAACGCGCGATCCCATCCTGTCTGCCCACGCCGTTTGGGCCAAAATGGACAGATGACATGGCCCAACGCGCGGCCGCATTCTCAAAAAATTTCCATTTGGCGTCCGGCCCACCCCATTTCGGCGCAAACATGTACTTGGTTTGCGTCCAGACGGACGCCGAACGGACGTGCACGTAGTTGCGGGTCGTCCGCCACGAGGACGCGTGGCGGCCTCCCAACTACCACCACCGCCCAAAGTAAATGCGCATGCGCGGCGGGCCCCAGCTGTCAGCCATAGATCCCGTGGTCGTCGTCCTTCTTAAATTGGAAGCCGTGGACCGTTCAGTCCAGAGCTTCCACTTCCCGGCCGGCCTACCTCCTCGAGCCCCGACACGAGCGAGCAAACCCAAGCGAGAGCCGCCGCACCCTAATACGTCTCCAACGTATCTATAATTTTTGATTGTTCCATGCTATTATATTATCTGTTTTGGATGTTTTGTTTGCATTTATATCCTATTTTATATTATTCTTGGGACTAACCTATTAACCTAGAGCCCAGTGCCAGTTTCTGTTTTTTGTCTGTTTTAGAGTTCCGCAGAAAAGGAATACCAAACGGAGTCCAAATGGAATAAAACTTTCGCAATGATCTTTTTTGGACCAGAATCAAACCAGGAGACTTGGAGATGAAGTCGGAGATGCAACAAGGCAGCCATGAGGGTGGAGGGCGCGCCTAGGGGGTAGGGCCCGTCCCCCTACCTTGTGGCCCCTCGGAGCTCTCCTGACCTAATTCTTTCACCCACATATACTCTTTTACCCCAAAACCGTCAGGGGGAGCCACAAAAACACTTTTCCACCGCTGCAACCTTCGATACCCATCAGATCCCATCTAGGGACCTTTTCCAGCGTCCTGCCGGAGGGGGATTCGATCGCGGAGGGCTTCTACATCAACACCATTGCCCTTTCGATGAAGCGTGAGTAGTTTACCACAGACCTACGGGTCCATAGCTAGTAGCTAGATGGCTTCTTCTCTCTCTTTTATTCTCAATATCATGTTCTCCTTGATGTTCTTGGAGATCTATTTAATGTAATACTCTTTTGCGGTGTGTTTGTCGAGATCCGATGAATTATGGATTTATAATCAAATTATCTATGAATATTATTTGAGTCTTCTCCAAATTCTTATATCCATGATTTGATATATTTGCAAGTCTCTTCGAATTATTAGTTTAGTTTAGCCCACTAGATTGGTTTTTTCTTGCAATGAGAGAAGTGCTTAGCTTTGGGTTCAATCTTGCGGTGTCCTTTCCCAGTGACAGTAGGGGCAACAAGGCAGGTATTATATTCTTACCATCGAGGATAAAAAGATGGGGTTTTCATCATATTGCTTGAGTTAATTCCTCTACATCATGCCATCTTATTTAATGCGTTACTCTGTTCTTCATGAACTTAATACTCTAGATGCAGGCAGGAGTCGGTTGATGTGTGGAGTAATAGTAGTAGATGCATAATCATTTCGGTCTACTCGACACGGACGTGATGCCTATGTTCATGATCATTGCCTTAGATATCGTCATAATTATGCACTCTTCTATCAATTGCTTGGCAATAATTTGTTCACGCACTGTATTATTTATCTTGAGAGAAGCCACTAGTGAAACCTATGGCCCCCGGGTCTCTTTTCCATCATATTAAGTCTATTTTCCATCATACTAGTTTCCGGTCTACTATTTTGCAATCTTTTAATTTCCGATCTATAAACCAAAAATACCAAAAATATTTATTTTGTCGTTTATCTATCTCTATTAGATCTCACTTTTGCACATAACATGAAGGAATTGACAACCCCTTTATCGCGTTGGGTGCAAGGTTGTTGGTTGTTTGTACATGTATTCGGTGACTTGTGTGTTGTCTCCTACTGGATTGATACCTTGGTTCTCAAACTGAGGGAAATACTTACTCTAGTTTACTGCATCACCCTTTCCTCTTCAAGGGAAAAACCAACGTAAGCTCAAGAAGTAGCATGAAGAATTTCTGGCGTCGTTGCCCGGGAGATCTACGCCAAGTCAAGCTATACCAAGTACCCATTATAAACTCTCGTCTCTTGCATTAGATTATTTTCCATTCGCCTCTCATTCTCCTCCCCCCCCACCTCTAAAACGATTTTTGAAAAGATTCGCCCTTTTTCTTCGCCGTTCTTCCGTTCGATCTTTTGTTCGCTTGTATTACCATGTGCCTTATTTTTGCTTGCATCTTTGCTTGCTAAAAGTTTATGGCTCCTCATCCACTTGCTAATATTTTTAAGAGATCCAATTATGATGAACCAATTTCTAGTGATTTGAGTGCACTAGATTATCTTTATGATGTTTTGCTTGAAATTCGTGAATCTGAAAATCGTGATGAAGTGCTTTATGAAGTGATTCACGATAGATCTTTGAATAAAAAGCATGATTGCAATGATTTTACTATAAATTTTATTGATGCAAATTATGCTAAAAATATGCAAAACCCTAAGCTTGGGGATGCTAGTTTTTCTATGTCTACTACTTGTTGCAATGATCATGATTGGGTGATTCTTCTTATGATCTTGAAAAATTATTTAAGCCCCATGATGAATATGAGATTGATAATAATGTTTGCAATAATATTGAAAGTGGGTTCAGAAGAGTGTCAAATTTAGATCCCAGATATTTGGAGAATGTTCAATCTTATTAAATTTTTGATAAAAGTGGATTTGTAGAGGTCGTGACTTTAGTTAATGTTAATCCCACTATTTTGGAAGAGTGTCAACTTCGCATGCATGTGGATCGTGTTGAGAATATGTTATGTGATAGCTATATTATTGAATTTGCTTATGGTCCCACATGTAACTATTATGAGAGAGGAAAATATGGTTGTAAATATTCATGTTACTAAATCACCTCTCTTCATGTTGAGATTGCTATCGTCTCTTTCTTCTTCCTTGCATATGATAGTTTTTGCTTGCCTAGATAATTTGTTTGCTTATAAAATGCCTATGCATAGGAAGTATGTTAGACTTAGATGTGTTTGTCATGTGCTATAAGATTCTCTATTTGTGCTTCAATTCTTATCTTTCATGTGAGCATCATCAAAATTATCGATGCCTAGCTAAGGGCGTTAAACGATAGCGCTTGTTGGGAGGCAACCAAATTTTATTTTTATTCTCTACTTTTTGTTCATGTTTAGTAATAAATAATTAATCTATACTATGGTTAGATGTGGTTTTATGTTTTAATTAGTGTTTGTGCCAAGTTAAACGTTTAGGATAACTTACGGTGATAGTTGTGTTGATCCTGCTGAAAAACAGAAACTTTTGTGTCCAGTAAATAATTTCTAGAATTTTATTGAAACGTGATTTTGATCGGATTCTTTTTTCTAAGGATTGGTGCACAAATTGCTCAGATTTTCCTAATTTTTCAGAATTTTTGGAGTTACAGAAGTGTTCGAGAGTTACAAATTGCTACAGACTGTTCTGTTTTTGACAGATTATGTTTTCTACGTGTTGTTTGCTTATTTTGATGAATCTATGGGTAGTATTGGGGGGTATGAACCATGGAAAAGTTGGAATACAGTAGATATTACACCAATATAAATAAAGAATGAGTTTTAAACAGTACCTTAAAGTGGTGGTTTATTTTCTTATACTAACAGAGCTCATGAGATCTTCTGTTGAGTTTTGTGTTGCGAAGTTTTCAAGTTTTGGGTAAAGATATGATGGACTATGGAATAAGGAGTGGCAAGAGCCTAAGCTTGGGGATTCCCAAGGTACCCCAAGGTAATATTCAAGCACAACCAAAAGCCTAAGCTTGGGGATGCCCCGGAAGGCACCCCCTCTCTCGTCTTCGTCTATCAGTAACTTTACTTGAGGCTATATTTTTATTCACCACATGATATGTGTTTTGTTTGGAGCGTCTTGTATGATTTGAGTCTTTGCTTTTTAGTTTAACACAATCATCCTTGCTGTACACACCTTTTGGGAGAAACACACATGAATCATGATTTATTAGAATACTCTATGTGCTTCACTTATATCTTTTGAGCTAGGCAATATTGCTCTAGTGCTTCACTTATATCTTTTTAGAGCACGGCGGTGGCTTTATTTTATAGAAATTTATGAACTCTCATGCTTCACTTATATTATTTTGAGAGTCTTTTAGAACAACATGGAAATTTGCTTTGGTTATAAATTTAGTCCTAATATGATAGGCATCCAAGAGGGATATAATAAAAACTTTCATATAAAGTGCATTGAATACTATGAGAAGTTTGATTCTTTATGATTGTTTTGAGATATAAAGATGATGATATTAGAGTCATGCTAGTGGAGTAATTGTGAATTTGATAAATACTTGTGTTGAGGTTTGTGAGTCACATAGCATGCACGTATGGTGAACCATTATGTAATGAAGTTGGAGCATGAAGTATTTATTGAGTGTCTTCCTTATGAGTGGCGGTCGGGGACGAGCGATGGTCTTTTCCTAACAATCTATCCCCCTAGGAGCATTCACATAGTACTTCGTTCAATGACTAATGGATTTTTGCAATAAGTATGTCAGTTCAT